GAAATTAGCTAAAATGTATAAAATAAGCAATAAATGTTGGAAATGTAAGGAAAAGGAAGGCACTTTTTATCATCTGTGGTGGGAATGTAAGAAAGTGAAAGGTTTCTGAGAAATGGTTTATAATGAGATGAAAAAGATGTTTACATTTATAAAAAAAACCAGAAGCATTTTTACTTGGTATTGTAGGCTCTGACATTAAAAGACAAGATAAAAAACTGTTTTTATATGCAACAACTACTGCAAGAATATTATTGGCACAGAAATGGAAGCAGGAAGAACTACTGGTGAAAGAGGAATGGCAGATGAAATTGATGGACTACGCAGAATTGGATAAGATGACAGGGAGAATTCGAAACCAGCGGGACCAGAAATTCTTGAAAAATTGGAGTAAATATACAAGTTACCTGAAAGACAATTGTAACCAACTGACTACGCTTGTAGGAGTACAAGAAGTTTTGTAAGGAGAACTATATGAAATATTGCAGAAAAGATTTATGAGAATGGACTTTAAGTTATGGATGATTAAAAGTAAAAGATAGGATAACAAATGTAAGATTAAGAGATGAGGTTTGAAAATCATTAGACGTGGTTGATGGAAGTCTCATTGTTGTATAAAATGAGATGAGATGATATGTTCTGTTTGGAAAATATATGTAAAAAATAATAAAAATGTATATTTTTTTAAAAAAGAATTTGTTCAACCCTTTCCCTCTATTCTGATATATGTAGGAATAGAAAAAGGTGTCCAATCATTTGTATGGTGGATGGAGAAAGACTTGGTAGGTCAGGGTTCCAGTAGACCTAGTGGACCAGCCTCCACCACATCCCATGTACCTAGAATGCCCCAGATCTTTTCTGTGAAGACGACAGATCCTAATCTTGCTGCACCCAAGTTTCTTAACTGGGATCTGCTCATACATCATAAAGGTGTTCATAGGAAGGTAACTTGCAAAAATTCAGAAGGATGAGTGTAGGGGATTGGAGGTTATGATGACCAACCAACCAACCAACCAACCAACCAACCAACCAACCCACCCACCCACACCTTATGTATTCTCTTAGCTTTCACCTCTTTCCCCCCGCTTTGTGGTAGCCTGCCTAGGTTTTCCCAGAATTTTGGGAGAGCGGGTGTGGTGTAGCGGTTAAGAGCGGTAGACTTGTAATCTGGTGAACCGGGTTCGCGTCTCCGCTCCTCCACATGCAGCTGCTGGGTGACCTTGGGCTAGTCACATTTCTTTGAAGTCTTTCAGCCTCACTCACCTCACAGAGTGTTTGTTGTGGGGGAGGAAGGGAAAGGAGAATGTTAGCCGCTCTGAGACTCCTTCAGGTAGTGATAAAGTGGGATATTGAATCCAAACTCCTCCTCCTCCTCCTCCTCCTCCTCCTCCTCTTCTTCTTCCCCTTGAGTATATCGAACACAGTTCTCAGTCCATGTTGGGTCCAGTCCTCTGCCCCCCTTCCTTCTGGATTGTGGGTCAGGGCCTCCAGTCTCACACCCCCAGACAATTTCTCCAGCTGCTTGAAACACAGAATCCCAGCTGCCTCCTCTCTGGCCCATGGGGAATCTCCTCCCTGGACATCCCCTGCCCCGTATTCCAACTCAAAATCTTGCCACTGGGCTTTATCTGGGGGCACTTCCTGTGGAAGCGTTTAAATGATCCCCTGTTTGAGTATATGCAGCGACAAGCGGGTTGCTAACTCATTTGAGTCCTATCAATAATTATACCTTCCTAGTTGATAATCCCTTTCTGTCCCTCTTAAAGAAAACACATATGAATCTGAATCATATTAACATAAACTACTTTACTTTCAGATTCATTCAGGTTGACAGAGTGGTTCCTGAAGGCAGGTTCAGGTTACATAACAGATAAACTATATACTAGATAGTAGTGAATCATGAGAAGACTGCAACCGAGCAGTTACCAGTTAGCAGCAACCGACCAACCAGCCAGCCAACCAACCAACCAACCAACCAACCAACTGACAAAACTGCCTGCCACATAGAGGCAGTTAGTCCTCTTGGAATGTTGGACTTGACTGACAGCTTTATATCCCACACTGCCTTCAGAATCTCTGGGCCCACCCCACCCTCATGGTGCTCAGAATCCACCCCTTTTCCTTACTCATGGAGCTAAACAAAGACATATTATTTCCCCATTGACTCTGGGCGACCCTGGTTGTTGCTGCCAGAACTGAGACAGGGTCCCACGCATTTCCAAAAGGGAAGGTAGCCAGTCCTGGAGAAGGAAAACTCTGGTTCTAAACCTCCACTGCCTTGCAGCCAAACTCATTCATGAGAAAGTTATTGGGACACTGAGATTAACCCTGAGGTAATATCATGATCCTGCCTTTAACTCAGTGTACTTTGGGGATCGACCAAAGGTATTAATTTCTTTACTGCAACTATAGGCCAGATGCCACATCAAACCAGTTTTTCAGTGGTGCATCTGTGTGGTGTAAGAGAAATCCTCACTGAGTAGGACATTACATTGCAACAGATAAATATTTTAATAGGACTTCCGGGTTAGCGCCTCCGGTAATGGCTGAACTCCTCTGATCGGGAGGAATCTGCTTCGTGGAAATTAGGGTCTGGCCGCCACGGCGAAGGCAGGACCCACCAAAAATCACAGGCGGGAGAAGCCTGTGAACGTGGGATTCGGCTGGCACCTTTTGCGCCTCCCCTACTCGCGGGGAAACCCGGTTTCGGGGATCCGGAGCGACGTGGGGTCAGTGGCGCGGTGCTTCGAATTGACTGCTTCTTTCACGGAGTGAAGCCGCATTCCTGTTGCCGGAGAGTGCTGACTTTTTCCTGTGGACAATTTGATCTTAAAACAACTACCCGTGAGTAGAACAGAAAATTGGATTTTTAAATGTCTTAATTTGGCACCGAAACGGGGAGGTTTCAAACAGGAAGTCCGCCTTCCCCTTTTGTAAATAGATTGAAGCAAAGAGACTGCAAGCTAAAGTCTTGGAAAGCCTTTCATAAAGGATTAAACTTCCATCGGTTAAATCATCAAACCCCCCTTGGAAGCAGGAGAAGAGGGGGGAAATTTAAGATCGTGTAAGCCTGCAGGAGAGAGTGAAGAAAGTCAAATTACCACCGCTCGGAACCTGGAAACGGGCTGCTAGTAAGACGGAAGTTTTGAATATGCTCATTAACTGTGAATAGATTGTCTGCTGACAGTAAGTTAAAGAAGAGAAATACAATGTTTCCATTGTCTCCTTCTGCGTTTAAAAAGGAGTAAAAGTAATTGAAAATTGAAACTAACTTTATTGTATGAACTGTGCTTAAAAGGATTGATACAAATAGAAATTGTTTCCCCCTAGAGGAAGCCTTTGAAATTGTTACAAGAGCTGAGCTGGGGGAATTTCCACCTGCAAGATAAAACTGTGAGAATCTGGGATTGACCTTGGACCGTTAAGAATGTTGACAGAAGAAGTCTTAGCGGTTGCATTATGTAAGATTAATGATTCACTGGAACAGCTTTATAAGAAGACGGACGCGAGGACTATAAAAATTGATAACTTGGAACAAAAAGTGACTAATTTGGCACAAAAAGTGAATATTAATACAGAAATTATTCAGGAATCGATACAGGGATCCATTTTGACATGGCAAATTGAGGAGAAGGCGGGGGAGAAAGTTTTTGCTGTGGAACCTAAAGTGGCACAAGTGGAGAGGGAGAGAGTCCCAGCCTTACAGTTGCAATTTGATGATTGTAAGTTGATGCCTTTCAAGTCTGAATTTAGAGAAAGTCAGACTTTTAGGATTGGAGCCCTGCTTGGACTGGAGAAAGAAAGTTGGATAGATCCCCTCATGCAGGGATTTATTGACCTTTGGGACCTGGACTTGGGTCAGGAGGAGACTGGAGTTGTGGGGACCGCCAGACTTGGAGGAACTTTGAAACACGACTGGAAATATCTTTTGAACTTCAGTTTTAATTATGGAGATTTGGCTGACTTGTCGAGAAGGAATAAAAACATTGCTAGATGGGAATTTCCCCGAGATCTACTTTTCAGCGTCAAAGGAAGGAAAATAAGAACAAGATCAGGAGAAGACAAAGTAAAGTGCATGTATAAATATGAAGAAGACTTGCAGAAGGGACCTGGAAAAGAGTTAAGAGCCTCGGACAGAAGATCACCAGGTTGATGGGCTATATGGAATTGACGGAAATGACTGGCAGAACCCGAGACCAGGGAGAAGAGACGGTGGAAGAATATTGGAAAAAGTTTAAAATTTATATATGGAAATAATGTAAAATTAATGAGTGTTAGAAAAATGTTGGAAGGGAATTATACGGCTTTAGTAGAAATGTTTTAAGGAATTAAGCATAAATAAGTATTATAGTATTAATGGAAAATAAGGTCAAAATAGGTTAAGATAATTACCTGACAGAAAATAGAGAAAGATGGAAAGGATTTGCTGAAACAATTAATAGAAATGGAATACAAAAAGGGAGGTGAGAGGAGGTCGATGAAACAAGGGAATGAAAGAGAGGATATTGAGATGGTATGATGTGTGTTTTTTGAACTGTTTTTTGCTTTTGTTTAGTTTAAAGTGTTAATGTTAATGTTGTGTTGTGTATTGTTTATATATTGTATTGTATTGTTTTTTCTTCTGCTTTTCTTTTTCTTTTCTTTTCTCTTTTCTTTTCTTCTTTTAAAGGTTTAAAAGCCTTCTTTTAAGGTTTAAAAGCAATAAATATTATTTTTTTTAAAAAAGATAAATATTTTAATAGACTACTACTCTAGAATTTGTAATGCAATAAAATACATTGTATATATAAAGAAATAAAAGAAGCAATAAACTACAATTAAAAATCCCTGAGCACCCTACCATGGTCCAGCAAGACCTTCAGCAATTCTCAAGTGGTCCGTGGGAAGAAAAGTATCAGAACCACTGGTTTAGAACTTCAGAAAAGAGAAACAACGGAACATCGTTAATAGTGCAAAGACTTCCTTGGTTCATTTGGAGAACTGACATGTTTCTTCAGAATATTCTACACGGCTTGTGCTGGTTTGGGCCAAATGCATCTCCACAGGAAGTCAAAAATGGAGGCTGGCAAGTAAGAGAGAGGAACGTATAAGAGTTTGGCATCCCATCCTGGACAGTAGCGGATGCGAGGGGAGCAGGAGGTCAGGGCATGTTCTATAGAGTCCGTGACCGGTTGAAAGTTGCTGCTGCCGGTGAAGGAGAAGAATTTCAATAATTTGAGACCTGTGATATAGGAAACAAGAGAAAAGCTAGTGGTACAAAAATATATATGCATTTATTTCTGCATTTATTTATTTAATTTGTATGCTGCCCTATAACGTCACAGGAGATAACCTAAATATTTTGGGTTCTGAAAGGATATGTTAGCTTCTGGATTTCTCTGCCTAGGAGGTCTAAATCTAAGGAGGGGCATCGGGAACATATTCTGTTGCTTTAAGACAGAACCTTTAGCAGCAGCTGATTGTTGTTGTTTAGTCGTGTCCGACTCTTCGTGGCCCCATGGACCAGAGCACGCCAGGCACTCCTGTCTTCCACTGCCTCCCGCAGTTTGGTGAAACTCATGTTGCTAGCTTTGAGAACACTGTCCAACCATCTCATCCTCTGTAATCCCCTTCTCCTTGTGCCCTCCATCTTTCCCAACATCAGGGTCTTTTCCAGGGAGTCTTCTCTTCTCATGAGGTGGCCAAAGTATTGGAGCCTCAGCTTCAGGATCTGTCCTTCCAGTGAGCACTCAGGGCTGACTTCCTTCAGAATGGAGAGGTTTGATCTTCTTGCAGTCCATGGGACTCTCAAGAGTCTCCTCCAGCACCAGAATTAAAAACCTTTAGCAATAGGTGATTAGACAGTGTCAATATGTATTTCAGTCAGTAAGCGGGGCTCAATGGTTGTATCTAGGTGAGGGCTGCCATATGCCGGGTTCAGGCCCGGGCAACCCACTAGCAGAGGAAGAAGTAGCGCGATCCCGGTGGGGTGCCATCGCGGCTGCTCCCCCCCGCCACGCCCCCAGGACACACGCCCTGCCCCAGCCTGCCCCCACCTGCTCTCCGCCTCCCCCTTCTGTGCCGGACCATGAAGCTCTGCCACTGGGGCAGCCCAGCTCCTCTCCCTCTCTGCGGCTTTTTAAAAAAGCATTAACTGGTCTCCTTGCTTAGAGCTGCCTCCCAGGATCAAGCGGGTAGCGGGTGCTGTTTTGGTGTGGGTGTCTGTGCGCCTCTCTCCCTCTCCCCCCCCTTGGTAATCTCTTCCCTTTTCTCCGCTGGACACGACCGTGTGTGTGCTTATGTGTGTATAACTTGTCAGCATCGCCCTTGAGCCAGTGCCACCAACTGGACTCATCCACTTCAGCCCCGACTGGGCTAGGCGAGCTGGGTAGCACTTCCAGAGACCACCTTCTGCACAGGAACAGGTCAAAGTGCTGTGGACTCACAGCTTAGAGTTGTGAGCACCGGATTCACTCCAACAAGAAGACAGTCGTCGCAAAGCAGAGTACAGCAGACTCTAGCAGAGTATATAAACAACTCGGAGAGCAGCTCTGTAGAATATCTTCTTTTATTCTATCTACAACTATACAAACTATATACAGAGCTAAATAGGTCTAAGCATAAATGAATGCTGCACCGCACTGAGTGTCTGCAGCTGCTCTTAGCAGCAACCTTATCTCTACACACGATCTCTAACACTCAGTCTCCGACACTGACTGACTGACTGATTGGTGCTGGAGCAAAATAAGTAGAGAGCAGAACACGCCTCCTCCTCTCTGGAGAATCAGCAGACTCCTCAGGAGATTCTTGGATATGGGAGGGGTGAAATCTCCTCATAACTGTCTCTTTGTGTCTCCTCTCCATCTCCCACAACTGATTGTGCTTCCCTTTCCGTGCAGTAAACAAGGAGCCCAGTGCAGCACCCTGCTGGCCCCACCTGCCCAAGGTCCTTTGCTCCACAACCGCAGTGTTGGGCTGAGTTGGTCTCCCACCAGGGCTCTCTCTCTCCCTTCTATGTGTCTCCATATGTATCATATATGCCAAATTGAATCAAAGATCAAACGACAGGATAGGAATGGGTACGATTTCATATCTCTCCAGATACAGACCTGAACGTGTCACATTAGCTAGGTTCTGCCCCCACTCCTAAATATAATGAGCATTGTAAATAGACTTCATGCCCCCCCCATCTCCATCAACCTCAGTCACTGAAAGGGTAAATGGTAAAAAAATTTTTTAGGATATTGGCCAGTACAGTGTACAAAATTTAGCCTTGTATGTTTTTAAAGGGGGGGAGGGGGGAGATTACACACACACACACACACACACACACACACACGTGTCAGTGTGTCCATTGGAGGGGGAATGTAGTCAAAAAGCTTGGGAATCATAACAACATCTTACTGATGGGTGGGATTTGGAAACCAGCAATTTAGCCTGGTGGGTCTCAGGGTCTCTCTCTCTCTCTCTCTCTCTCTCTCTCTCTGTGTGTGTGTGTGTTCCACTGCAACAGTGGGACTTATTAGCACATGCTTTAATTACAGGCTTTCGCACATTGCAAACCAAACTGAATTCTTCCCCCCGCCCATTTCTACTCACTGCGCTCAAAGTAGCACTGCCCATAGGCTTCCTTGATGTCAGAAGGGGCTTGGCTCCATGCATTCTTGTAGCTCTCTATCATGTTTGACTGAATGGGTGTTTTGAAAGAACCGGGTTCAATAATGCTGACTCGGACCCCGAAAGGATGCATCTCTCGCCTGAATTGAGGAGGAAAAATCAAGAAACACGTCTTCTTACTGAACCAGAATAATAAGGAAGATCATGATTTGGCTTCCATGGAATAGAACATCTTTCCTTAAAGAAGAAGAAGAAGAAGAAGAAGAAGAAGAAGAAGAAGAAGAAGAAGAAAGAAGGGAGAGAGGGAGATGTGGTGAAATGCAGCTTCCTGTCTTCTTCTGTCTTGAGGCACCAGGGCATTGTCTATGACCCGACATCAGGTATATTCAGAGGCAGCCGCCAGGAGGTTGGTGTTTACAACTCTTGCTGGTACATTAAATTGTTTCCTCAAGGAAAAGAGCTGACCTAGGTGTGCAAACCCCTGCTGATTACTTGGTAAGTCTCTGGTGCAGTCCACATGTCCCAGCACCTGCTCTTTATTCATTGCTGTCCTCTGCTTGGAACTTAGCTGGAGAAGCAGACATCCCACTAAAGCAAGGAGAAAGAGGAAGATACAGAACTATCATGTTTACCTCAGGATGTCAGAGAAGGCTTCCACACCGTACTTGGATGTGGCATAGGGTACTCCAAAGCATGCCCGTCGTCCCGCCATACTGGACATGTTGACCACCCTCCCTCTGGCTCTTCTCACCAGGGGCAGCATGTGTAGCGTCATGTCAATCATCCCAAGAAAGTTGACACCGATCATCTTTGCAACGCCATCTTTGGTCAGCCACTCACTGGGAGCTGATGGGGCACCAGTGCCTGCATTGTTCACCAAACCCCAGAGCCCTGTGTGAGAAGAAAAAAATATTCTTATTGTTCCAGGTTCCCACCAGCCTTAATAATTGGATATACACAATTCTTTGGAAATGTGGGTATATCTGATTCTTGTGAGTGCTGTGTGTGTGTGTGCTATGCACTATATGCCAAGGATGACGCTGTTAAGTCAAGGCACCCATCTTAACTTCTATCCCACACATCTTTTGCTCACTTAGTGCTTAGGATCCCTGCACAGACACCCTTGCAACTTCCGTCATTTCCCTCTGTCAAATGAGCACAGCACTGCAGTGGAGGATAGTATGGAGCCCTGGGCATCAATTTGCACAGCAGCCACCTGATTTCCCTCCATGCTGTCAGAGAATGGAGTCTGTAGTTTTGGCCTACGTTTTGCACAGGTTGGTTAGGAGATTTTAGAGTGATTTTGCTATAAAATTAATAAGACATAATACGTGCAGAATATAGCATGCATGGAACACTGAGAGGGTGTTTATGAGTGGGTGATGAGAGGAATAACTAAGAAAGAGGGGTTTGTATCATTAATAAATTATTTATTGTGGGAATGTTCTGGGGTGCAGGAGAGGATATATTGACTAATTATATCCTTATCCAACTTGTGCTAACAAGTTCCCAAAATATCAGCAGAGTTTATAAACATTCCCCTTTAAGTTCGCAACGGTAACGTGTGCACAGGTTCGCTAGAACCTCTATAATAATTACCCTGGTAATTTCCCCTTTGTTCCCTCTTAAAATACAAGACACAACACAGTCCTTATGAAAGTATAAAAGAGTTTACTCACGTTCTGTTCACAATATGATGCCAGAAGGCAGACAGGCTTAAAAAGGTTATATACATTCAGGATCTATCTTATAGCAAGATAGTCCTTTCCTCCTCTCTTGGCTGAGAGCCAAGAGAGCATCTTTAGATGCTTCCTCATCGAAGGAAAAATGGCAGAGAGAGAGAGATGGCTGCCTGCCCTGTGCTTTTGTCATTACCTGCACAGGTGAGGCCACACCCACCTCTGGTCACATGCAGAGGAAGTCCGTCCCCAGGAAGTTTACCTGCTTGCTGGACAGACATCCCTCCCCATGTTCTAACATGTACACTCTAGGAATGTTGTGATTGACTGCTCCTGTGTTTACATCCCACATTTATATCATTTATTAACAATAGTACAATAATCTCCCTTGTTGTCTCAGTCTCAGCAGCCACTATGGAGAAATTATATTAATGTTTAGATTGGATCAGGCAGCATTTCTGAAGAAAGGGCAGCACATATCTCCTCCTCCTGAGTCATTTTCCTGGTGTGGATTGCAGCTCCTCCCAGCTGCTCTTAGGAGGAAAAATTCAGAGTCCAGCATCACCTGATTGTGAGTTAAAGTTACCAGTTTGTACCATCACTTATGGCTTTTCCTACATGTGCTTTAAAGAGCAGCTTGATCAGTGGACATTATGAGGTGTCAATGTTTCTCTTCACACCACAAGGAGCTTCACCTGCTGATGTCACAGAATAAGGCACAGAATAAGCTGCTGTCAAAGGCACAAAGCAAATGTCTTTCAGATCAGTTTCTTATAGAGGTTGAATTAAGCTGATTGCATAGTTTTAAATTTTTTTTTACTCACTGATATTTGGATATTTGGATTAATTGTTTCTAATAAGTTTTTTGAATATTACTCATTCATTTGATATATTTGGAGTCACTTTGGCGACATTGTGTGGGAAAGTGGAATAAAGATACAGATGATACAGAAAATCCCTGGCCTGATCCATCCAGAGGCACTGGCTAATCAGTTTGAGATTCTGCAACTGCTTGCCAATTTAAATTTTAAAAATTTAATTAATTTTTTAAAATTAAGATTAAAATCTTGCAGCATTGATTATGCTCTCTTGTATCTGTAGACATTATCAGATAGGAACATGTATCTTCATACAAAATGAAGTTTCACTGTGTGACTTCACAGAACAAGCTGCTGTCAAAGGCACAAAGCAATAATCTTTCAGGTTATTTGGCAATCGTAGCAGCTCTTGACAGAGGCTGAATTAAGGTGACCCCATGGAATTCCTTCCCCATTCATTGCCTTATTGATTTTAGTTGTTTCTAATACTTTTTAAAATGGTCATACTTTTTCGTTTTGATATATTGGGAGTCGCTCTGGCTACATTTTGTGGGAAAGTGGAGTAAAGATAAGCAGATGATGATACAGATAATCCCTGGCCTGATCCAGAGCATGGAAACAAAACAACAAACTACCTTTGTTCTCCACTTGTTCTTTCACCCACTCTGTTGCTGCCGCAACGCTCTCTGTACTGGAGACATCCAGAATGGTGGTTTTCAAGCGCTCTGAGGTGACCTTGTCCAGCTGCTCTGCCCCCTTCTGCGTGAGACAGGCTGCCAGCATCCGCAGACCCCGGGCATCCAGCTGCCTGGCAAGTAGGTTTCCAAAGCCAGAGTCACACCCTGTGATGAAGACATATTTCTCCGTCAGGTTCTCCACCGTCTGTCTCTCCTGGTACCATCGGCGAAGGAAGTAAAGCCCCAGCAGGGCAGCCAGGTAGAGCCACATGGCTGAAACCTGCAGGGAAGAAGCTTGCAAGAGTGAGGGCACACAGGCACCTAGCAAGCCTTGGAGAAACCAAATCCCAACGCCTGCTCCACCATGAAGCTCGCTGCTCTATTTAGCCTCCCTCGCAGTGTTACTGAGGGGAAGGAGAAATCTTGCATGAAGCAATGAGCTGCTTGGAGCAGAGGGAAGCCAAAACAAGTATAAATAATAGGTCTAGCTAGCTTCTTATTAACTGAAAAGCTCAATAAAGAGGAACAATATGAGCCTATCTATAAATATTGTGCAAGCTCAGCATCAGCAGCCAACAGATCGTATGCCTTATTTTGCCATTATTGTATCACATATTGCACCAGATGGATCTGAACCAAAGAGAAGGGGCCATGCCAATGTCCTAGCAATGCCCCCCCCCCGCTTAGGAAGGCATGTTTGCCTCCTGTGATGTTACTTTGGAATCAACTCCAAAGGGTAATTAGGAGTCCTTTCCATCTCACTAATTTGTCATTTGCTGGCAGGAGAAGGAGAGCTCCAACATTAAACTGTTTTGCTCCATCAATCGCCTCTTTAGGGGGAGGGGGCTGGGGGTACTGAACCCTCCAGGCTCTCCCTCGGCGAAGAGACCCTCCAAACTTGGCAAGCCTCCAAAGGGAATACTGACATCGGACAACATCTCGACATTGCTCCACCATCCACCGCTGCTGCCTTCCCATTGCCAACCCTCAATCCATCTTCCTCCTCCCTGCTCCCGCCTCCCGCCTCCTGCCTCACACTGGCTTCTCCTTCTGCCTTTCTTGTGCGTGTGTGTCTTTCGTGTCGGCTTTGGAGCTGTTGCCTTTCTGGTGAAGAGCATGTTATGCTCTCTTGGGCTGCCTGGGGCCCGGGAGCGACAGGAATCGGGCCTGTGATCGATGGGTTGGACCTATCTGCTGTATGGGGAAAATATAAAAATTTACTTGAACAGAAAACACCTTGGTGGCTTTCCCATTAGAAGTGATATCTTTGAAAAATTAAATGTGAGAAGTAATAGGGTGACATATAGAGAGCTGTTAACCGAGGTGGAACATCAGGTGAAACTGAAAGATTTTGAAGAGATAAGGGATTTATTAACAGATTGGTTACAGTTTCACCAATTAAATGATATCTTTAAGACAGTCAAAAACAAAAAGACCTGTTAGAAAACAATTTGAAATTATTGTCGAAAATGTATAAATTGCTCTTGGAATGGTATGCAAAAGATGAACAGGTTAAATTTGTAATGATACACTGGGCAATGGATTTGGGGCATAATATTCATGTTTCAGATTGGGAAAGGCTACGGAAAACAGATTTGAAATTCACAGCATGTTGTACGCTGAAAAAAATTATATGAAAATCATGTACCGGTGGTATTTGACTCCTAGCAAGTGAGCAAAAATGTATAAAGCAAGTACAAATACCTGCTGGAAATGTAAAGAAAAAGAAGGTACCTTTTATCATATGTGGTGGCCACGTAAGGTAGTAAAAGCTTTCTGGGAAATGATATACAGTGGTACCTCAGGTTACAGACGCTTCAGGTTATATACGCTTCAGGTTACAGACTCCGCTAACCCAGAAATGGTACCTCGGGTTAAGAAATTTGCTTCAGGATGAGAACAGAAATCGTGTGGCGGCGACGCGGCAGCAGCAGGAGGCCCCATTAGCTAAAGTGGTGCTTCAGGTTAAGAACAGTTTCAGGTTAAGAACGGACCTCTGGAACGAATTAAGTACGTAATCAGAGGTACCACTGTATAATAAATTGAAAAAAATGTTTAAAATAACTTTTGTAAAAACAAACAAACCAGAAGCTTTTCTATTAGGAACTGTAGGCACCGATATTCTAAAGCAGGCATAGGCAAACTCGGCCCTCCAGATGTTTTCAGACTACAATTCCCATCATCCCTGACCACTAGTCCTGTTAGCTAGGGATGATGGGAGTTGTAGTCCCAAAACAACTGGAGGGCCGAGTTTGCCCATGTCTGCTCTATACCATCTAGATGGATTACGGTCTTCAAGCATAGAGGTTGAAAAGGAATTGGATGTTGTTCTGTAATGTACTTTCAGCCAGGCCTTGGTTATAATGAGCCATGTGTTGGTTTCCATCAGATGTTGACCGGTTTCGGCACCTAAGGTTAGATAACTTATGCATTTAGGGGCACCAAGGATCTTGCAAAGAAAAGTGGCTTGAATTTGTTCGACCCTTTCCCTCTATTCTGACATATGTAGGACTAGAACAAAGATGTCCAATCATTTGTATGGTGGATGGAGAAAGACTTGGTAGGTCAGGCTTCCAGTAGACCTAGTGGACCAGCCTCCACCACATCCCATGTACCTAGAATGCCCCAGATCTTTTCTGTGAAGATGACAGATCCTAATCTTGCTGCACCCCAAGTTTCTTAACTGTGGTCTGCTCATACATCATAAAGGTGTTCATAGTAAGGTAACTTGCAAAAATTCAGAAGGATGAGTGTAGGGGATTGGAGGTTATGATGACCAACCAACCAACCAACCAACCAACCCACACCTTCCGTATTCTCTTAGCTTTCACCTCTCTCCTCCTGCTTTGAGGTAGCCTGCCTAGGTTTTCCCAGAATTCTTATCCTTGAGTACATCGAACACAGTTTTCAGTCCATGTTGGGTCCAGTGTTCTGCTCCCCTTCCTTCTAGGTTGTGGGTCAGGGCCTCCAGTCTCACACCCCTAGACAATTTCTTCAGCTGCTTCCTCTCTGGTAATTTGGGGGTGCTGGGAGGATATCTGCACCCCAGCGCCACATCTGCTAAAGACGGCCCTGGTTACACAATAAAGGAAAATCGGATGAAAATGATGTACAGGTGGTATATGACCTCTGCCAGATTAGGTAAAATATATAAATTAAAATCAAATGTATGTTGGAGATGTAAGAAGGCAGAAGGAACAATGTATCATGTATGGTGGGGATGTGAGAAAATAAAAAAGTTCTAGTGTAGTATCCATGAAGAACCAAAAAAGATGTTTAAAACAACATTCGAGAAAAGGCAAGAAGTGTTCCTTTTAGGTATAGTCACAAAAGACATCCCCAATGACAAGAAAAAAATATTCTTATACACAACAGCTGCCGCTAGAATTCCAGTTGCGAAAAATTGGAAAGCAGACTTTGTTCATTCAGTAGCGGAATGGCAAAAATTTTTTTGTGAGTTTGTCAATCTGGCCAAAATGACGGCAGCGATCAGATTACAACCAAATCAGAAATTAAGGAAGGAATGGGAGTATGTAGAAGAATACATGACAAAACATTGTTCCAAAATAAATTTATTGATATGCATAGACTGAAATTTGCACAGTTAAGGTTAAAAAATAAAACAAAGATTTTATGGGTTAATATGTATAATGTATCTCTTTAACACAATATTAAATGATATAAAAATAATTAAATGATGCTAAGCACAGGTGGAGGGAAGTCATAGAGATACAAAGAAAGAAAATGTATAATTGCATACACATAAAAAAATAATAATTTGGTGTTATAATAATTCAGAAGACAGTGGGGTGCAAAAAAAGGAGGTCAGCTCTGTTTGTGATCTGAAGGTGGTTGCATGAATTTCCTAGAGAACTTGACTCTATTTAACTTTCCTACAGCGGAGATATAAGATTCACAATTACAGTTTCAATTTATTTGAAAAGACTGAACATTTACTGAGAAGGCGTGAAAAAACCTCTTAATCTGGATATATTATACATTCTTTTGAGACTTTTTGGATACCATGGGGCAGGGAGGGGGGAGAGCTTCCTGGGAACTTTTACTTTCAAATTTGTGGAACTGCGTAGATTGAAATTAAAAACTGTTAAGGGGAAAAGAAGCCAAATAGCAGCTTTCTTTTAGCAGGACCTGCAAATGTCCGGCATAGATAGACCTATTTAAAACTTTATAAAATAGCCGTACCTCCAAACACCTTGGGGAGAAGCTGTGTGGAGAGGAGAGTGTTAGAACTCCCCCCCCCGCTCCCTTGTCTTTAAGTTGTTTTTGGGACTCCTGGGATTCTTCTTCTATAGTGAATAGCGACTGCGTGGAACTGTGTGGAATTAAGCCAGTAAGTGGTTCAAGATATTGTATTTTATTTTTTCTTATTGGTTTTTATTGTGAGGTTTTTTCAGGAAAGCTTCAAAATCTGTGGATTAGCCAAACAAGTGGCGGAAGATGCCCAGCTCATTTATACTTCTTCTTAACAACGAAGTCTGGAACATATTGTTGTAAACTATTCCCTAAACCTTCCTTAGATTTAACAGATGAAGGAGATAAGTAAAAGGATGCAAAGCTTGGAAGAAGGAATGAAACAGGCACAGCGAGAAATGAGAGAGTTGAAAAAGGAGGAAGAAAAGACCATAGGAGATGTGTCCGAAATAAGTAAGATGCAGGAAGACTTATGGGATGCTATTGCTTTAAATGAAATGAAGCAGAGAGAAATGAATTTGAGATTTAGAATGGTTCCATAAACACCAGGGGGAAATATCATGAGAAAATTGATCATTGAGATTGCACAATGGTTAAGTATGGAAACAGAGGAGGTAGCAAATACAATTCAAAGTGCATTCGGGATCAAAACAAAAGCTACTAAAGCTTAAAAATTCCCAGGTGATAGTTTGATCATATTTAAAGATAGAGAGATGAGGAATCTGATCCTGAAGAAAAACAGAGAACAAAGACTCTGTATTGATGAAACATTTATAATCATATTTAAGGACATCCCACTTTGTCTCCTGAAGAAATGCCAGCCTTACAAGACTGACACAAATACAGAGAAAAAACTATATTGAATTCAAATGGGAATTCCCAGAAGGGGTCTCATTCTATTACAAAGAAAAGTGGTTTCAACTTAAAAATGTGGATGAGACAAAGAAATTTATGAGAAGATACAAAGAGCTAGGCAAGGAAGAAGACAGCAGCAGCGACCCCGGACCTAGAAGAAGAAGATAATAAGGAAGGAGGAGGAGGAGGAGGACAGGTTTAAAT